ACCACATGACTTGGATGCCAAGGTGGCATCAATCAAGGAACAAGTGCGCAACGAGATAGTAGGCGAATTTAGTTCTTGGGCAAAGCAAATGAACTTACCGAGCTTGTCGTTGCCCTCGACTACACCGGTTGACTCATGTAGTCACCCACATGGACAAGGAGAAGATGAGATACATGGAGAAGATGATGAGATACATGAGGTAGTTTCAAATCTATTAGTTTTGGCATATTGAGTTACGTGAGATCTAAGGTGGCATTATTAATTTACTATTTCAGGTTGGTACTCTTACACGTGCGGACTCAATGGAGCTTCATAATCCAACACCTCATGAATTTCAAGATTTACAGGTGATTTGTTTAGTTCTAGCGTAGTGAATTTCGTTACATTATCAATTGTGTAAGAAAAGACCCCTTGTGATATGTTTGGTTCTTATAAGTGATCTTCCAAATTGGTGTAGGAAGAGACCGGTTGTGCACTTCTACACCCGGGGGGCTATCAAACAGTGGAGCTTTGCATTTGGTGGTGTATGCTAGTGCACAACCGACCTGTGGTACGGTCCATTTGCGACCGCTTAGGCCACAAAATTACTCGGTCGGGATCAATTCTGTGATTGCAGGGTTCCAGGACATCCGACTACCGGTGCCCGTAGAGGAGGATGAGATTACTACACTTTGGGAAGCAAAAGGTAGCTTTGTGCAATGGCCACGTGCTTGGGTAAGGTTGATCAACGAGGTAAGATTTTGGGTTCACTCTTTACTCTATGCCCGGTTGTCTTCCAAGAGTTTGATTGATTTCTTTTCTAACCAATTGCGTGATTTGTTTTATTAGATTTCGAATAAAAGCCAAACTTCAAAGAGAAGGAGGGTGGAGAAGCCTAAAAGCATTGATCAACCTAAAAGAAGATGAGTGAACAACGGTCGAAGAGTGAACAAGCATCGAAGAAGAACTCTTTGAGAGGTTCAGCCATGCAAGCTACTTCACTTGTTGGAGGCACGGTCCTTCAATCGCTCTCTAAGGATTTAAATTTTCTACACAATTGTGTTAGTATGTTGCCTAGTGACACTCCCATTGAAGTTGCACTACCTAAGGCATTGTTCCACTATGATGAGGATGTAATTGCATGGATTAGCAAAGAAGATGTGATGGAATTTCTAAGTGGTTCAATGCTTAACATTTCCCTCATTCAAACATTCATGAGGTAATTCAATGCCGCTTAAATTATGTTATTCAGATTAGTGTTGATTATCGTTTATTTTTCCATTAATATTCTATTATCATGCATGCAGAGCACTACAGGAGCACTTACGTGACATTGATTCTCATTGTCAAGTTGGGTGGTTATGCCCGAAGCAGACCTCCACTACTAGAATCTTAGCAAACCACCCTAACGTGATGTACTATGTTGAACGGAGTATCAAGGAATCAGTGTGCGCGGGAGACAAGTTCATATTTGCCCCATGTTATGAGGAGTACGTCTAACCATGTCAAATTCATTTGTTTCCCCTGATTATATGTTAACTCCTAATTATTGATTTGTTTGTCTATTGTGAATTTATGTAGTTTGCATTGGACCCTGCTGGTGATTTGTGTTTCCAATAACACAATCTTCCTATTTGATTCAGCTCGATTGCCTCAACAAAAAAAGTTACTCGTGAAGGCCATACTACAAAAGTAAATATAGCTACCTAGTGTTGATTATCATTATCTAACTCATTTATTAGTCATACTAATCAAATTTGAACTTACTTTTTTATAGTGTTATGAAGAAGCTAAATTGTCGAGCTCGTGAAGGTCATACATGGAAATCATCGATGGTAATGCCACATAATTTTGTGATTTTCATTATAAACAATGCGTAAGATGTTGCTTCTTTTCTATGAATGTTTGATTCATGTACTTTGTTCCTATGCTAGTGCGCACAACAAGATAACAGAGCTAATTGTGGCCTATACGTGATGAGATTCATGTTTGAAGTAGTGAGTCGTTGTACGGACACACTACATCTTGATGAGGTATGCCATTGACTTAGTTAATTTGCTCTTTTCATGTGATTTGATAAGAAACGTAGGAAATAGGCAAAGTAGTAGTCATATAGGCCATATTTAGGCCATTTTGGATGAAAATGCGTCCTAAAACCTAGTAATTGCTCTTTTCATGAGATTTCAAGCCTTAGCCACCTATAACTAAGTAATATTGTCATGTTATGAGAAAGAATGAGTTCATTTGATAAGAAATGTAAAAAATAGGCAAAGTAGAAGTCAGATAGGCCTAAGTAATAAATTTTTGCCTAAGTGAACTTGTAAATGTATGAATTTGACTATTACTTGCTTGTTTATACTTGCAAATAATAGAAATATTCTATATATTTGAGTCACTTATAATAAATCAAGTTTGGTATTTAATTTTTTAAAAATGTATTTATACATGCATAACCTAAGTAATTAATTCTAACATAATTTTGGTTTATTCCAAGTTTTGGAAGGTCCAAAGGGAAGGTCTGTTGACAAGCAAGGAACTTAATGAAGTTCGAGACATGTTGACGTCTTTCATCACTTTTAATTTGTAAATGTCACTTCTATTTGAATTTAGATTTTGTTAACTTTTTAACTACATTATTAATTAGCATTGTTTGTAAATATGACACTTTTTTTTTTTGAGGAATTGTAAATAGGAAACTTCATTGTATTGCATTTGGAATTATTAATATCTATGTATTGTTGTTATTATTTCAATTTAAAAATTATTATTTTTAATAGTAATAATAATAATAATAATAATAATAATAATAAGGGATATTCTCAATGGTAACCCCCTACAATTGCTACGCACCAACGGTAACCCCCCTTTTTTGGATTATAAGAAATGACCTTAGTTATCTTTTTTCTCCTAATGATGACATTAATGATGGTGTTTTAACATAAAATTAAACCATGGTTAACTAAAATAGCGAAATGACAAAAATGCTCCCTTTTATTTGACAGATTTTATTTAAAAAAAAAAAAAAACTATTCTAGCAGCCCCCCAACCCCACAGCCCAACATCCACCACCTTACCCTAACCTTCCACCTCCAGCCCAACCCCTGCTGGCGAACCCCACTAGCCCCCACCCTAGCTGGTGAACCCACCCAATCCATCCATTTTGGCAACCCTACCCGTGAACCCCCACCACCCCAACCACATCCGATGACCCCACTTATTCCGGCGACGATTCTACACGTGAACCCCCCCAGTCCCCCACCCAGCCCCAACCCCTGCCACCTCCTCGCCTCCCATCTCCCGCTGCCGCACCTTTTAAAACGCCCAGCTGCACACCTCATCAGCCCCCTTAAATCTATCAACTCCTCGCACCCAACCACCGAGCCACATCACACCACAACGCAACAACTTACAGCCACCCAACCTCCGGCAGCCCACACATCACCAATTGCTCCACCAATTCGCCACCTACAGTCGTCAATTCGCCACCAATCAACGCTGGCCACTTCCCAACTCACCTTAAAACCGTCACCAATTCGATTTTTACCAATTACCACCGTCTTCACCCTAATCTCCCTTTGCAATCAACAATTCAGTCACCAACAATTGTAATTTCGACCACAATGGCAGCTGCAACATCAATTTAACCCTCACCGAGCCCCCCTGCCCCGTCGACGAATCCCACCCTTTTCCGATTAGGTTTCAGCGAGTGAGATTATTGCAGGTGGGTCGACTATGAACACAGAGAATGGGTCGTCTGTGTTCGGCGGTCTAGAGTCCAGGTGGTTGAGTAGTTGGGGTCGCCGACAGTGAAAGGGGAAGGGATATGGCGGTGGTTGGCTGGTGGAGATGGTGGTGTGGATTTATGGTTGTGGTTGTTAATTTTTCTAAATGTTTTTCTTTTTTTCTTTTAAAAAAAACTAACCATAGTTAATTTTAATTGACTATTTTATGTTAAAACACCATCATGAATGTCATCTTTAGGAAAAAAGAAAAGAAAAGTAGTGTCATTTTGTATAATCCAAAAAAAAGAGGGTTAAGTTGGTGCGTAGCAATAATAGGGGGTTACCACTAATAATAATAATAATAATAATAATAATAATAATAATAATAATAATAATAATAATAATAATAATAATAATTGTTGTTGTTCTTGTTGTTGTTGTTGTTGTTGTTATTACAATATATTATAATAATGGTAGAATGAATGCAGGATGTACAGGTTATTATTATTATTATTATTATTAGTATTAATATTATTATTATTGCCAAAAAAAACAAAAAACAAAAAAAATACAGTTAATGGCACCGGTTAACCAGTGCCAAAGAAATTAATTCGCACGGGTTAACCGGTGCGAAAACTAAGAATTAGCACCGATTTTGAACTGGTGCTAATTGTTTTTTTTCATTGCATCCCTCAAATCTGGACCGGTTCAAAACTGGTATTAAAGGGGGTTTTTGAACCGGTGCTCATTTACATTTTTCGTCTAGTGATAACTCCTGTTTGCCAATCTGTTCCATCAGGTTGATCAACTCATTCGAAAGCTTTGCAGCCCCTAATTTCTGTGATTTGGGTCATAAAACTTACAAGATATGAACTTCCTATCTGGATTCTCCCTTATCCAGCTAGTGAGCTTGGCCATTGGCACACCACACTGGCATTTTCCTTAGAAGGGGAAGAGCTAATAACGACATAATCTGCATCAATTTTAGATCAACAATTACATATACAGTTTTGTACACTATCGAATTAACATTGTCAACAACATTTTCATTTTTAATTACCTAATTCGAAAAGCCCCAATTTCAATTTGTGATGAACCCTAATTTTGTAATTGGGCAGTTACATGCATACATAACATAATCCAACCATCAATTCGAGTACAAAATAATTGTAAATAATAAATGTGATAAATTTAAACCATAATTACCAAACAAACGAACTATATTTCCCCAATTTGATTACACTTTTACAAAATTTTGGTAGTAACTTCAAAATTTTAATTTTTTATGTGATGTTAAAATAATTTTTCCCAGGTCGGGTATATGTGAAGACCCAATTCTCCTATTTTTCCCTCATTTTTGTATTAAAACCTAAACCCTATTTTTGATTCTCTCTCTCATTTGGCCGCTAAGAGCTTCACTTACGGTACTCCCTCTCTTTCTCTCACCTCTCCTCCGTCCCTCTCTTCCATACTTGGACACTGCTATACTGACCCTTGTTATTGCAGATCGACGAAAAAGCAGAAACCCAGGAGAGAGAAAATGAGTCGAGGAGCAGCAGCAGGAGGTGCCAAGGGCAAGAAGAAGGGTGCATCCTTCACCATTGACTGTGCAAAGCCTGTCGAAGATAAAATCATGGACATTGCTTCTCTTGAGAAGTTTCTTCAGGAGAGAATTAAGGTCGGCGGTAAGGCCGGTGCTCTCGGTGATTCCGTTACTGTTACTCGTGAGAAGAACAAGATCACCGTCAATTCTGATAGCAATTTCTCCAAGAGGTTTCATTTTTTCCTCTTTTATTTTTACACTACTATTTTTATTTATATAATACACTAGTGATTTTGATTTTGATTTTTTTCTTTTGGGAGAAATTGGTGAGGTTTTAGCCTTTTAGGGTTTTAATTGATTTGGTTACGTTATTGTTGGACAAGTTTAGATTTTTAGGTAGTTTTCTTTGATATTCTGTTATTTATTCACTTTTTCAGAAATTCATGTTTGTGATGCTATGTATCTTTATGTGCCTGTGTTATTGTGGTCTGTTTCCTTGCTTTATGTCCTGTTATCGATCTAAATTATTGATGGGTAAACTGACTATAAATGGTGCGGATAGGAGTTTAGATTAGTTTTTTTTAGTGATTGATTATTCTAATTTTGGGGTTTTTACTTTATTTTATTTCAGGATTTGTGCAATTGACATGTTAGGTATTTTTGTATCAAGTTCTGCATTTTAATCTTAAAAAGATAGATTGCTGAATATATGCCTGCATTTTATTGTTGCTGAATATATGCTGCATTTTAATCCTATAACATGTGCTACATTTTAATCCTATTAAGTTTGCTGAATGTATACTGCGTTTTAATCTTATTAAGATTGCTGAATGTATGCTGCATTTTAATCTTATAGAGATTGCTGAATTTATACAGTGACCCTGATCGTTTAATTTAGGTTCATGTCATCTGTTGGCTGTTGCCCTGCTGTACCATTTTGAACTTCATCTTTACCATGCATTCAGTGTGTAATTGATGTTGGCGCGTTGAAATCTCAGTAAATGAACTTGAAAGATGGTTGACGTCCTTTTTATTCATTTTTATGCCGATGACCTGCTCTATTGTATTACCTCGAGCTTCTTCTTGACCCTATGTGCTTGGTATTATATGAGTAACATTGCCTGGTGTTGCTGTTTTCGCCTTCTTTCTAGGCCAGCTGTTTGAAGTGGTGTTTAATTATTGAGATAAATGAACTTGAAAGATGGTTGATGTATCTCCTGTGAGCAAGATCTTTTTTCATTTTGTGTCTTCACCTCTGTTATACTACCTTGAACAAGTTCGGTAATTTACGCGTCACATTGCTTGTGTTGCTGTTTTTGCATTCTTTTCTAGTCTGTGTTGTAGAGTTTAGCTACACTTGAATGAACTTATTCTGTATTGTATTGTAGAAGCAGATGTTAAAAGTGATGTATGAACCTTGATAGGTGAATGCCTGTTTTACTTTTGAGTAATCTTGGTTTGAATTTATTTTCAGGTACTTAAAGTATTTGACAAAGAAGTACTTGAAGAAGCACAATGTTAGGGATTGGCTTCGTGTCATTGCTTCTAACAAGGATCGTAATGTGTACGAGTTGCGGTACTTCAACATAGCTGAGAATGAGGCTGAAGAAGAAGATTAGGTCTTTAGAATAAAGTTTTGAGCTATCGTGATTTTCCTTATGTGAGATCTCATAATTTTGGGAGGAAAAACGATTCTATGCATTCGACACCGTATCACTTGAGATTTTTTTTACAACACTTATTTTTGGTTTTTATTTAAAATTATCTGCATGTCTTTAGTTTTAATTTCTGGAATCTCCCAGCTGTGCCATACGTTCTGTGGTTAGAGTTAGCAGTTATTACGAAGAGTAGGAAGAGTTTTATTGTAGATTATGTGATTTTATCATGTTATCTGTCATGGTAGCTTGTTTGCTTTCTTTGAAGGGACATAGGTTCTTGGTAGTTTTTTTAAATGTTTGTGAAACATTGTGTTATTGTGTGTTAACATGCTCTTGTGTTATTGTGATTCTTGATTGGTACACCTGGTCCAAAATGACAGTGCCTTTCACATAAAATGCAGGGTGCTTTCAATCCTAAAAAAAGGGGGAAAGAACACGAACATTAACTAACCAAAGAACTGTGTACTTTCTCCGTTACGTATTATCTGCAACAAACATTGCTGCATGTTTTCAATTATTCTTTGCTATTTTTTTTTTTCCTATTTCTCTCTAACCTCACATGCAATTATGGATGCACTTATGTACTTCCATCAACTTTCTTTATTATCGTGAAAAAACCTAAATAAACTCATAATTAAGGACAGCGGGAGTAGTACGTAAACTAATACTACAATCGACTTGACGAGAGTAGGCTAGGAGTTGTTTGACTTGGAGTCCTTGGAGGAGTGGTGGCTATAGTTTGTAGTTAGGTTCTGTATATTTTTTTTATCCGATTCTTTAGATAGATAACTTATTATGACTTATTGAATTTTTTAAGAAAAATATCTTCAGACCTGGCCTGGACCTAAACTTGACCTATTGCATTAAAACCCAAATTTGACCCAAATCCAATCGAGATCCATCGGGTCTAAATTTTTAGGACCCATAACCTAAAATATGGGTCAAGTCTAACTGAGTTTGGGTCGGGTCCTAACCCCATTGTCAACCCTACACTTATCTTTCCAAAAATAAATATTTTACCAAAATCATTCTCTCACTCCAAATCATTTTCTTTGTTTCCAAAATTCAAAAAGAATAAAAAAAATTGTTTGTCTCTTTTCGTAAACCCTGATTGATTTTGAAGCTTCTTCAACAATTCAACAAAGAATTTCAATCAAATGGTTGACCAAGATGAAGTGTAAGTGCTTATTTAATTCATCTTATTTTTGTTTATCTGATTTGCTATGGTCTAATCTGGCCTGATATGATCTGATTGTTTGATTTGACCAACTTTGATCTTATGTGTTCAATAATCTATAAAGAAAAATACATCAAATGAGGCCTTCTTAGATTCTTTATGTTGATTATTTTATATATATGTAATTTTCATATTTTTTTTTTCATTATGAAATTAATGATATTAAACAATAAAAAACCGCTTATAAAACGATAATGTGTGTCGTCAGAACTTATTTTTTCTGATCGGAGTTGATCTGAACTTACTTTTCCTACTCCTAATTTTTTTTTTCTGAAATAAATAAAAGTTAGGTGAACTAAACATGAACTAAGTCATAATTTGTACTTGCAATCATTACTTTAGTTTGAAATTAGTTCCTAATTTGTACATGCAATCGTAACTTAGGTTATAATTCTTTAGTTAGTGGTTTAATTTTGGGTTTAAATTGTCAATTTAAGCTTATAATATTGTTTGTGAATGGATGGGTGGGAATCAATATCAATATATATTATTAAAATTCATGGCAAAAATGCAATTTTGCCATGTGTCACCAATTTTGCCATTTGGTATATGATGTGCTGCATGTCATACCAGTCCATTAGTGATCATTATTATTTCCTCAAACAAAAAATTGTTAGCATTGATGTTTAAACCCATGACCTTATGATCATTATAATTTAAGTTTTACCACCACTTTAAAGACACATTTTATGTCAACAAATATTATATTAAAAGTGTTAATTATGTTCATAAATTTTAAAATTAATAATACATATAGAATTTATACACGTAAAATTAACAACAATCTATAATAACAAAAGTGATCACATCTCTTTCATTTGCTATAGTTATTGAAACATGTAACCCAAAAATATGTTGCAATTTATATGCTAATTTTATTTCTACATATATGACATTTGTAAAGAGTTTCTTATAACAATTCCAAAACGAAATAAACTAATAATATGTAGGATACTCAATAATAGATGATGAATTTTAATGTTCAATAAAGTTTAAAAAAAATAAAAATTTAATAGTACAAGTACTATTATAAAAATAATTAATCAAAAATAAAAATATAACTAATCTATAAAAGTTTAGTTTATATATTCACAATGATCCGGGGTATCGCCTAAATTAAAAACTAGTTGAATATCAAAAGTAAATTGTTAAATACTCCATCCGTATTTTGTTTTTCAGTTCACTTTTCTTTTACGGTCGTATATTATTACTAGTTTCATTTTTTTTTGGGAAATTTTTAACAATATTTTACCATTTTTCTCGCCATTAGTGGTTCCCTCATATTATGTATATATATTTTACATATTCTCTCTCCTCCCAACTTATACTCACTTTTGTTTTTTCAGATTTTTTTAAAAAAATTCAATCAACCTCACTTCCATCATAAATAATATGTTTTATTATTCTTTCTAAAACTCTGTGTCTAAAAAAGTGGAGCGAGTAATAAAGTACGGAGGGAATACAATGAATTGAAGTGAGTAAAAATGTGTGGGAGAATTTATGACAAGTGGATGGAATCTTGGGAGAAATGGGGATTTAATATTGGAGATGAGGGTAAAATGGTCCTAAATGCTAGGCCATTTTTAGATTTAAGCACTTAATTATGGGACATTAAAAAAGAAAAAATAAGCTCTTAATTTTGTGACGGAAGGAGTAAATGTTGATGTCGAAATTATAGAGTGAAAATAACATCTGTATTTAATCCACAAAAATCAGGATGAGATTCATAGTTTTGAGCGCAAACTTCAATACTCCCTCCGTTTTATAATAATTGCAACACTTTGGTATTTTCATGGTTCATATGCTTACGTTAACTATACTTTTTATCACTATAAAAAACATATATTGCCGTGTAAATTATTTTTGAATTGTCTATATATATTTTCATCTGATTAAGCTTTTATACCTCTTATCTTAATAATATATAATTACAAATATTAATAATTAAAATTATGAATTTACGTATGTGTCAGACTGTTAGTCAAATAGTTAAAATACTACGATTATTATGAAATAAAAGGAGTATTAATTGTATCATTGTTTATACAACCAAACAAGTACTCACCAAGCAACACACGAATGTAAAATGAGTAAATGACCAAAGTAAAATCAACTCAGTTGATGAATAGTCAAACACAAAACTAATAAAATAGTAGAGTTCATACTTGTTCACACCAAACTTTGCTGCAGTAGTAATGCACTAGGACAAAGACCGTGCTTAGTGGTCACTGAATATTGACACCGCGTGGAATTTATACTAACTCGATATCAGAAACATTCATTATTCTACCTTTTTAATACTTGTACTTCGAAGTTCGAATTATACTGCCTTTGTTAACTATTCAATTAATTTTTTTCTGTACTTGCTATTAACTCGATTAGTAAAAAGGCATAATTTTTCTGGTGGGTTCTAGTATCATGTTCCAAATGAAGTGATTTCCAAACATTTCACCCTTCAAAGTTGGTATTTTTCTTCTCTATCTTTCAATTTCCTAGTTAGATTTGTAATGGCAGAAGTTAAGAGCTTCATTTACACTGTTTTCTTGTCAATTTTCATGTCTTTTTGGTCTAGAACTGCATTCTCTGTGAGTTCTGATGAAAAGGCTTTAACATCACTTTTAGCTAATTGGGTTGTTCCAAATTCAGTTAAATTTAACTGGGTTTCTTCCAATTTTAGCTCATGTTCATGGGTTGGTGTTCAATGTGACAAAACCCGTCATGTAGTTTCTCTCAATTTGTCAAATTGTGGGATTTCTGGGATTTTAGGCCCAGAAATTGGTCAATTATCTCATTTGAATACTATTGATCTTGGTTATAACTCCTTTTCTGGTGATATTCCTGCTGAGATTTCCAATTGTAGTCTTCTTGAGTATTTGGACCTTTCAAACAACAATTTCACTGGTAAAATTCCTGAAACCTTAGGAAAATTGCATAACTTATTGGGTCTTAGCTTGTTTAGCAACTCTTTAACATCTCAGATTCCGGAATCGTTGTTTCGGATCCCACATTTGCAGTCACTCTTTCTGAATGATAACAAGCTTACTGGTTCAATTCCTTCCAATATTGGCTATGCTAGTGAACTTGTTTCTCTTTATCTGTATGACAATCAGTTATCTGGCATTATACCTTCTTCCATAGGCAATTGTTCTGCCCTTGAAGTTGTCTATTTGAATGATAATCAGCTGGTGGGTGTATTGCCTGAGAGTCTAAATAACCTTAATTTGGCCTATCTAGATGTTAGCAAAAACAAGTTGGAAGGTACCATTCCTTTAGGTTCTGGTAGTTGTGAGAATTTGATTGAGCTCGTTTTGTCGTTTAATAAATTTCGTGGTGTTATACCTCATGGCTTGGGTAACTGCAGCAACCTGGAGCTTTTTGCTGTAGTAAATAATCACTTAACGGGAAAGATCCCGGCTTCATTAGGTCAGCTTTCCAAACTTTCTAAACTGTACCTTGCAGAGAACTCTCTGTCAGGGAAGATACCTCCGGAACTTGGGAACTGTAGGTCCTTGACCGAATTACGACTGAAAGAGAACAAACTTGAGGGTGAGATTCCTAGTGAACTGGGGTCTCTAAGTAAATTAAGCAACCTTGAATTGTTTGAAAATCGACTGTCAGGAGAGTTTCCACTTAGTATTTGGAAAATTCAGACCCTTGAGGATGTTATTATTTATAGCAACAACTTATCAGGGGAGCTGCCTCAGGAACTGACAAAGATGAAGAATCTCAAGAACATCTCTTTACATGAGAACCATTTTTCTGGGATCATACCACGAGGTTTGGGGATCAATAATAGTTTGGTGCAGATTGAATTCACAAACAACAAATTCACTGGTGAAATTCCTCCTCACCTTTGTTTTGGTAAACAGCTGAAGGTTCTTAACTTAGGTCAAAATATGCTAAGTGGTAGCATACCTACTGATGTCGGAAGTTGCTCAAGTTTGACTAGGTTAAGACTTGAACAAAATAACCTGGCAGGGAGGCTTCCTGAGTTTTCTTTGTATCACAGCCTCATTTTCATGGACTTGAGTGAAAATAATATTCGTAGTAAAGTGCCACCGAGCCTTGGGAATTGTCGTAATCTCACCA